AGTTTCTAAATAAGGGAGCATCTTTTTCAACATCCCAACCATGTCTTGCGGCATGCATCCAGGGAATCTGAAAAATCTTCTTCTCCTGGAAGGGAAAACAAACAGGAAATGCCAACACTGAAAGACTTGAGGAGTCTTCTGATGATTTTAAGTCACTAATTTATAAGCACAGTTTCAGCATCTCCAAGTGTTTTGCTCCCTTCTAGCCCACTGTCACTATCAATGAAATCAGCAGGAAAATATCCACTGGCATCACCAAAGCAGAACACAGTCCAAGTGTATGAAATACTCAGAAGCCACTTCATGGAAGATGAGCCTGGCAGCTTTCTGAGCTGACACATGGAAAAAACATGCAGTACTACATATTTCTGAGCTTTCATACAAAGGGTAGTTTTGTCAGCACAGACACTTTTATGGTTAACAAAAATATATCTGAAACTAAACAACCATAGGAACAGAGCAAAATCAAGGGATTTAGAATTCAGGCAATAAATACTAGCATGGTAAGGAAAAGAGATCTTGCTAATTTGTATGCCAAGCTAAAGAATATATCAGCAGTAGACATCTCTCCAGTGAGGATAAAAAAACCCCAGACACTCATATGAAGAAGTGCATTGAAGATACCTAAACACATTTTAGTTCCAAAACTTTCGACTAAAGAAAAGTGCACTTAAAGAAATGCAAAGGAAGGTTTTTTAAAAATTTGGTTTTTTAACACACAGCTAAATCATGCCTTACATGGTGTCAGTATAAAAGGATTCCCCAAGGGATCATGGAAGATCCCTGGCAACTACTAAAGATATAGTTTTAGGATGTAGCTCCAGCTCTGGGGGCCAAATGACTTTCAGAGCTTGAATAACATGTTTCCTACACCCCTTCCACAAGCACTTAGCACACAGGATGCTGGATCAGATGTGCTTTTATGTCATACAACATGGTAATGAATTCCTTTGTCCTGACCTAGAGGGCTGCTTCAGAACTCTTCATGCTGTTTTCTGCAAAGCCATACAAACCAAGCTCATTCCACAACACTTGTTTTTTCTCCCCTGTTAGGAAGAATACTTATCTGGCTTCACATGCAGATATCTTGCACTATAAACTCTGTCACTGCAGGTTCACATCCAATTATCAGTCTATGAAGAGAAAAGTACTTCCAGGGCAAAATGCACCCTCCTCCTGCAGCAGCCACCTGAGCTGTGCTGCCTGAATTTCACCCTAAAAGAGCCTGTTTCTCTCTACTGACTACCTACAACCCTAGACAGGCAGCTCTCATTTAAACGACTGCATTGTAGATATCTGGCCGGGTGAGATGAATCCTTTTTCCCCTTCCCCCAACAATCACTTTTCTTTCCCGACTGTCTGGTTAATATTTCACTCATGCCAAGGTTAGGTTTATTTCCCTTCCTTCCATGTGATCTTTTCTTCTTCTGAGCCTGCATTTTGTCCTTCAATTTATCTTTAATCTTTTCTGTCATATTTGCTTGTTCAGAACTGCATTCTTCCCTTCTTGCTTGGCTTCATCTTTAATTTGGTGCAAGCAGTTATTTAACATGTTCCTCATTCCCCTCAAGACCTCACACTCAATATTCCTCTTAATGCAGTTACATCACTTCTGTCACATGTCTTTTGCCTCTTTATTCTTCCCTCTACATATAAGTAAATCATCAACACTTTCCCCAACTCAAAGCAATTAAAAGAAAGCCTCAAAGCCACTATTTGTGGTCCACAACACCACTGTATTCATCAGACCTAGAATAAGCTTCTCTGCCTTTACTCTTTCATAGACTATAATAAGCATGGGAAAAAAATCATCACTTCAACGGAAAACAGTTTCTATCAACAAGAACTTTAAGAATAGACCAGATTAAAATAGACCATATGATAATTCAAAGCTTAGCAGACTGAACAAGACTCCAGACATAGCATCCTGTCATCATCAACTGTACTTACTGCCTCAAAAGAAGCAGCAAGAACACTCAACAGCAGTCTAAGTGGTCATTACAGTGCTTCTGTTCATTACAGAAAGTTCTTCCCAATCCCAGATGTCTTGAAGCACAAGAATTATACCAAATTATAACACAAATAACAAAATCATAGAAGCTATGTGTATAATAATTTTATAATACATATATAAGTTTGCACACCTATACAGAAATTATAGATTTTCTCATCAACTACAAAATATCTAATCTTCCCTGAAATCCTGCAAAGATAGCTGATTACATCAATACAATGTAGTTGAGTGCTCTGCTCTAGTTTACCTGGGTATTTTCTATTTAAATAATACTTCTATATTTCACACATTATCAAACCTTACCTATATTCTTCTTCAGCCAGTGCTGTCTAATAATGACCCTTAACAGTAAGAGGTCATTAGTGCTTTCTCTTAGACTTGGAAAGCCATGTGCTGACTGGTCCAGCATTCCATCACAGGACTTTGGTGTAGGAATCTTGTGTTTCTGTTAAAAAATTAGCCTTACCTAAAGTCAAAAACACAACCCACAAAAATTTTGCACTGTAACAGGAATTGCTACCAAACTCCAGTGGGAATACCAAAAGGGAAAAGCTGTGACATTCTTAGAAAGAGGCATGAAAAGTAAACTAGATCAAACCTCAGCTGGTTACAGCAGCATGGTACTACTAATGCCAAGGTTGTGATGGGGCCATTCACTTAAGAGTAAGACTTGGTGATCCTCCTGGATCCCTTCCAACTCAAAATATTCTCTGATCACTTGGAACTCTGGCACTGCAAAATGCTTGGAGCAATGCTTGAGTGTGAGACCTTATATTAGCTAGAAAGTCATAGGACAAATCTTAAACAGCAGCATCCATCTCCAAGGCAATACTCCAAGCATCCATCAAAGCAGTAGGTTGCCTCTCTGTTACAGCTCGGAATGTTTCCTTTTCCAGATCCATGAGGAACACTGACCTCTCATACTCCTCACATCCGAACTATGTTGTTTCGTTAACACCTCCCAATTTTGTCTCTCTGGGAAGGTAAAGAAATTCCCTTTCTCCTTCATGCCACTCAGGAGGACAACATTTTCACCAAAGAGGTACACAAGTATTTATGCTTTAAGCCTTATAAGGAGGGGTTCGTTCTGGAGGTATAATGATGAACTGACAGTAGGGGAAAGAATTATGTGTCACCTGTACCTGATTTGTCATTTCTCATTGAGAGAAATTTAATTCTTTCTTCAGTTCAGAAAAAGTCCCATCCCCAAGAACAGAGAGCCAATGACAACCCAGAATGGTAATAATTTCCTTAATATTTAAACCTTATTTCCTTAAGAGCTGTGCATACACATGAGTTTCATTCCCTTGATAATCTGACACACCTTCTTATCTAAACTGTGAACTATCCTTTACCAAACTCTGATTAAAATACTACAGCCTATAACGTTGATTCTGTGGGTATAGAACAAGCTGTGATACACATGACACTTCATTAATTCCATGCATGGCTTTGTTTATGGTCAGGATTTACAGTAAAAATATAAATATTTTTGGTTTAATGATCCATTGTTGGAATGAATGTGCAAACACTTTTACACAGAAATGCTCAGGAGTGCAATTTTCTTGCATATTTCTTTTGGAGGAAAGGCAATCCAGGTTGATGCCAAATCAGAGGGTAGAAATGGGGAATCAGAGTTTAATAAATGTCAAGGCAGAGAAATTATTTCAGGATTAGGCAGGAACACCCAGCAAAGGACAGCAGACATAGACTGTCAGTAGGAAACCTAACACCAAAATAGAGATATTCAAGAAGAAGGACCTGAACATGGGACTCAAATTACAAAGACAACAGTAAAAACCAGTCTCCTCTTCAGCTGTGACCCCATTATGCAAGAACAAGGACCTACTCAAATTCACAGTGCAACTAACAAGGGAATGGATAAAGCAATATTTATTTACCCAGCCACAGCATGAGAGTCACTGATGCAGGAAGCTACTGAGAAACAAGGTTCATAGATGAAATTTAAAGTGCTCCTGATAATTTCATAGTCATGAGCATTTCTAGCTTTTGGAACTGAAAGAAAAGGTAGTAATTTCAATTGTCATTCTTCGACTTTAAAAATGAGCACCTGAGTACCACAACTACTACTGCTATAGGGAGGATACCAGACTATTTGTCTTAGTGACTTAACCAGACAGGCAGGTTTCTGTCCCTGATTTTTTGCATTTTGCACCCATTCTGATAATACAGTAGCCTCTGTAGCAAAAACAGCTTCATGCTTTTCAGTGTGGTGAATTACTCTCCTGCATAGTGCAGAAAGCATGCCACATTTCCACAGTTCATTACTATTCAAAGTCTCAAACACACTCCTAGATTTTACTCAACCAATCAATTTAAATTCAAATTGGGCACTGATGTTTTTGAGCTCACGATTGTGCTCTCAAAGTGTCTTGAGCACTTAGTAAGAGCTCAGGACCAGGGATATTAGGTTTGAGTCTGGCAGGGGAAAAGTCACCCTATTTTCTCCAGAGTTGAGAAGTGTCAGAGAAGTCACACAAGTCTGAAACAGCAGATTGTTGCTTCAACTCAGAGTCTAACACAAAATATAGTCTTCCTCCTCAAGAGAGTATTTTGAACACATCCCTCTGATGCTACTTATTGAACAGTGTGCTCCCAGGTAAAAAATAAGTCCAAGCAGAGTCTCCAGAAACACTCACTTCAACAACAAAGAGCTGGAAAATGCTTTTAAATGAGCCATGAATCCACCAGGCCAAAGCAGAACGCTTCAGATCTGGCAGGTGAGACCGGAGGAACAGGTTCAGCAGGAAGCATTCAGCTTTGCCCTTCCTCCCTGTCACCCCCTTTGAAAGCCAGGAATGAGCTGATTTACCTATGCAGACCACAGCCACTGCTATCGAGTTCCCCTTCAGCACATGCATGCACACCCCCCTTACCTTATTTAGCCATTTCAACCCCGGTATTCTGTTAGAGTTGATTTGTTCTTCCAGCCAGGGCCGCATCCGCATCCTTTCGACAGGCATTGTCACCCACCTGGGAAGGAGCTGCAGGGAACAAGGGACAAGGTTACTTGTTTGCCAGGCAGAACTCCCAGGCAGCTCCTCCACCTCTACACAGTGCACTTATTAAAGCTTTGCAGGCACTGAATGATTATAAATATAAACATTATTTTAGAACAGCGTGCGAGCCTCCCCTAAATGCAACTGAGATAAAGTCTTCTTTATGGCAGAAAATATTCTTCTGGTACACTTGTACTAGGAAAACCTTCGTCTAAAGATGACATAGGATATCAGCAAAAGTTTGTCTGCTGATACAGGTGGGATAACGGAAGTCACATAGAAAAACACTTACACTCTTGGAGACACCTCTTTTCAGTCCACATACCTGCATTTGCAGAAGACCTTACTTTGCCAAGACAAAAATATGTAATGAAAAAATAACACATGCAGGAGGCATCATTGTATTAGCTAAAATGATGCCTCTGCTAATGAAAGGGCTTTCAAATGGCAGTTTCAGTACCATGAACTTGACTAGAATTAATAAAAGTACATTTTACATCACAGCAATTTAGCAGACCACTTTGATTCTGGCTGAGTAGATTGACCCCCTCTGTCCAGCTTTCTCTGATCAATCCACTCACTGATTTTTTAGCTGTTATTTTACATTTCAATGCTGTTCAGCTATGAAGTGAGTGCTTCACACACCCCTCTACACCATGCCACCTTCTATTATCCAGTTAAGACTTAAACTGACTTCTTTTTCTGTCTCTCTCTCTCACACACACGCACACATGACCTTGATGCCACTTCCCTGTTTAGAGCTGTAAATTATTGACATAAGAGTCCAAAGTCTTGAACCTGAGGCAGAAAATTTTAAAAACATTAACCAACTGGCACTAGATGCAGATTAAAGCACCACATTAAATGCCTGTTAAGTACCCTAGAACCCATCATTTCCACATTCAAGTACTTGCATTTAGGCTGCTGCTTCTCCTTGTCCCTTCTGCACCGGGCTCAGCTCCTTTCTCTCTCTTTTGCTCTTCACATCTGTGTTCTCTGCATCATTCTTAACTTCTCTGCTCCACTATTCTTGTCACCTTTGATCTTAAAAATAAAAAAGAGAAAGAAAAATTTGAAAGCACACAGGAATGGCACAAATGTAAATGGGTTTGTTCTCGCTTCCTATGGGAGTACAGGCACGGGACAGACTAACAATTAGGCAGTACCAAGCCCACACCCAACACAAGAGGAAGAAAAACGTTCAAAGTTTCCTCTCATTGCTCTGAGGACATGTATTTCCTTGAAACTAATAAGGAATTAAAATCTGAATGTAACAATAAGGTTCTTTGATGTGTTCAGAGAATTTACCAGCAGCCATGCTCACACTAATCTCTTAGCATACATATTAGTATTTTGTTCACTACTGTGTGAAGCTGGTCACTCGTGCTTCAGCTGCAGCCTCTTACAGTAAACTACGAATTTCTAAAATAGCTCAGAAAACGGCTGCAACTGCCCAGCTCCCTTTCAAGTTCACTTCAGATATGAAAAAACAGCCAACCCCAGGAATCCAAGAGCAGACAAGCCCTTGTGCATATCCCCTCTCTGTGTAAGAGGAAAGCTGTTTTCTGGGCAAGGGTGATGTGGGTTCAATTTTTTAGCTGCCAGTTTCCCTCCCCTTGGAACCAACAATCCTCTCCGGGTTGCAGAATGTGTACAGGAGATCTCTACCATCTTCCCCTACTACAGTTTGAGTCAAAGCTGAAAAATGCAAATGGCAATGTACTAAAAACATGAGCAAATTTTTATTTGTCTGACAATGAAGAAACAATTATGTACAACAGATGCATATCTTTGTAAGGCATCTTTGAGTATGCATGCACTTTGAGACAATTCTTGGAAACACTGTGCATTAGGTTCAACACTCAATATGAGCGTTCCCATTTAGCAGTCGGACTCGCCTTATCTTCTGGGTAATGAGCCCCTAAGACAAATTTCAAGCCCATCTGAATGAACAACTTAGACAGAAGGCAAAAAAGTCATATTGAAAGCAGCAGCAATGAATCCCACTTGGGACAGGCAACATGGAAGAAACAGAAGCTGCCTTTGTACAAAAGTAATACATCTAGGAAACAAGAAAGCTGTCAACAATTGCTACTACAAGGAAGCCAGTCTAGCCCAAAACAGCAGAGTTGAGCCAACCTGTCTTTTCCCTCCCACATCCCTGGGGGCTTCCCCAGCTGCTCCCCTGTAGATGCTGCTGTGATGTGCTCATCTCCTTTTTGGCACCATGGGATTCCTCTGGGATTAGCAACTGCAGCTGTCAGCACACACCTTCCCATCCATCACCCACACCAAGACAAATTAATCCAAGGTAATCAAGAGAGAAGTTTGGCTTGTGAGAAAAGAGGAGTGGCTCCCAAGACCTGTTCATCTGAAAGTAAATTCAGACCCAGTAAATTCAAATCCTAATGATGTTCAGCTGGAGGGAACAGTGGGAATCTCCCGGAGTTATGTCCTTCACAAAGGAGCAAGCACAGCCGTGCTTTTGCTCATCAAAACACAACCCCTACCCCATGCTCCTTTTAGAGCACATGCTGATGAAAATAAAGCTGGATGTCTTCAGAAGACATTCCCAGACCTGTCTGCCTCAGGACAGCAATGACCACAATGGTACTAAAATGTAGCAGGGTTTTTTGTCAGTTGCATGTCAGCAACATTCTTTGGATGAAAATACCAAGTCAACTCTACCAAGTAATTGCCTGTGAGAAATGAAGGTGCCATATCTCCATCCAGAGCTGTCAAATGCATGATTTATTTTTACAGAAAGAAACATCAGCATCTACAGTGCCTTAAAAGTAGTTCCTGTCTGTCCATAAATGGCATTACTGGGCGCACTTGAAGCCTTATTCCACTGGCTCCAGGTGGGAGGATCTGGAGTCTGTCCATCAGTGAGTACAGATTAAATCACCTGACTTTAAGAATCATTCCACTTTGTAAAGACATTTGAAATGCTCCAAAATAGGCAGCAAACACATGTAAAGTTTCAGGGGCCATTGCCTAATACCACACCAGCTTCACCATTCATCAGAATATATCAATTATAAAACAAACCTACAAAGTCAGAAACTAAGGTGAGCCCTAGGTATGCCAAGTTTCTTGCCAGCCTCTCTCCAGTGTTTACCCAGCTGAAAGAAAAAAAGTAGAAACAGTCAATCCTTTTAAGGACAACAAAATATCAACATTTATAATGTGGAGCTGGCTGTAAAACTAGAAGCACTTACCCACCTATCTCCTACTCCTGGTCAGCCTCAATGTTGCACTTCCCCTGCATATTAGCACCTAGAAGAAGCTACACGCAGCTGTTGGTATGTTTTGTAGCTGGGGCAGGTAACAGTATTTTCAGAGCTGCCAAGGCATCCAGGTCCCACTGGCTTCGCTGCTACCATGATCTCCTGAGCTGTAGGTACCCATCTGCTGGCCTAAGGAAACCTCTCCAGAAGCCTGGTTACTTTTGGCTGCCTGAACCTTCACACTCTGATTAATCAGGAGAAAAATGGCTTAATGCCTGCCTTGGGTCACTTGACACCATTTTCCTCCACACTGCAGAGACAATGGATGGAGCCAGGGAGAGGAATAGAGCCAGCTGGGAGAAAGGAAGGAGCAGACGGAAGGAGCAGCAGCAGCTCCACCAGTGGCAAAGAAGCACATGGTACTCCACCACTCCATCACCCTTCAGTCACATCCCAGTTTTGCTGCATGCTAACACTACTCTTCGCATAGTCAGCTTTCTGAAGAAGTCCAGGAACTTAGCAGGCTTCACAGGAAAATGATTCATATTCCCAGAGATCCAAAGCTGAATGCTTTCTGGCATCATGTTGAAAATAATTCCTTTTTGTGTTTTCTTTTGGTTTCTCATGGTGGAGGAAAGGAAGACTAATCACCAAGAAACACAGTCAGTGCAGAGGGGACCTCAGAAAGCATTTTTCCACCCTATCAGAAAAGGAGCTCATTTAGATGCCATAAGTAGGACTACCTGCTAGGATATCACTCTATGATTCTTAGTAAGGCATTCTTAGTAATACAGCTAGTTTTCAACAATCACTATTTTTATCATGCCTCCTACAAATGTATTAAGACTGGTAGCTCCACTTTCTAGCTCTATTTTTACCACCTGTCTTAATATTAGAGGGGAGCACAGTCTGGGGCATTTGCTGTTTCAGAGGTAGGAGCTTAAATATATTGATGGACATGAAGACATCAATAAAATTATTCCCAAACCAGTGGTGAGTGGGCAAGACATCAGCCCCAGCTCACTGGGATTTGCATAGAGGGGGAGCCTGTGAAGAGCCATTCCCACACAAGAAGCATGGCCCATGGACTGGCTGCCACCACAGTTTATGGAGGGATTATTTTGATCTCCTTTGAAACTTTAATTACTGCACTATTCATGCTAGTCCTGTGGTTAGTTCAGCCTATTTTTTGCAATGAGAAACTTCAAGAACATGGTGAAGGCTACTCCCCAACAAGGTATAAACTGGTTGCAATATGCATATACATATATTTTCACTCCATGATTGATAAAGAGCTTGTAGTCCCTCCCTACTCGCCACAAGAACATTCTAGTAAGTCTGACTTGTTTTTTTCCTTCACAGAGATTACACTCCTGCCATACAGAAAGTGTAACCTTTGAGAATGAAGAGCTCTTCACTAGAATTACAGCAGCTGTAGACAGAAAGTGAAAGCAATGGCATGGCAGGCATTACATCTGAGCAGTACACGATGTTCTCTTTCCTTCAGTTTCACTCTGGCAGCATCTGGATAACTGAAAAGGCACAAAGGTTATCCCAAAACCACAAGCTACTCTGTGTCTGTGGGTACTTTCTTAAAAGTATATTCCTATGGAACCAAAAAAAACACCTCTGGAAAAGCAATTCTTTTTTTCCCTGTCACAAAATACCTAGTTAAAAGATTTGCCAGTATATGGAAATATTGGTTGTGAAAAGTTAAGGTGGGATAAGATCTTGGAGGCACATTTCTGAAGTAGGTCACAGCCTTTGCTCAAAGCTGTGGAAAAACATATGTTCCTCAGAGGATATGTGCAGAATATTGCACAGTATCAATTTATGTTTTCTCTGCAAATACAGAATGGGCAATATTATTTTTTTGAGAAGTTATCTTTACCTGTGCTTTGCTGATAAACTTTTAAACTACTCTCTTTGTTTACTAAGGCTGATGCAGTTAAGAAAAGCATCAATCATCCTGTGTGACCAAAGAGATATGCTGAAATGAGACCATATGCTAAATTTAGGATTCAGAGAACTGGGTTCTGTATTTGCATCTGTGCCAAGACTGTTCCAGCATATACGGAAACATGATCTTTTTTTAAAGAACAGTACTTGGAGCAAAATTCTGCTCTTTGGTCACAGACTGAACTCTGTCTTCACACAGGATTTTGCAGTATGACCACCTTTTTCAGCTGTTCTGCTGTAAATACCACTTTCAAAGATTTCACCATCTATACTCTGAGAAAAGCCCTGCTTAGAGGTCAAACTCATCAGAGGGATAGAGCGTTCTCTCAGGTAAAAAAACCTATTAGACTCATCTGCCCAGAAATACTTCAGAAATGTGAGATTGACACTGAAAGGAAAACAGAAGTGCTCTTTACTCAGCTGCTTTGACTGTGGACACCTGAATTCCCCCTGCCCACAGTGTGTGCCTGGTACCTTTCCTATCTGCCATGAGGTAGAGGAGGATCTTACCACAGGTGCTGCAGAACATGCCTTCTTTCTCATAATCCCAAATTATCCCACATCTTTTTTTGGAATCAACAGCAAAACACTTCATTAAAGAGTAGTAAATGATGAAAAGTGGTCACTGCCATTCTTAGAGGTATAAGGGTTACAGATTCAAAGTGAAATCCTCACTTAAATACCACGCAAGAAAACCCATAAAAACCAGCAACAGACTTTCTGGACTTATAGCTAGTTAGAAAGCAAATGCTCTCTGGTCTTTCAATTGCATGTAATGGTGCCTCCTTTTCCTTACCATTTCCTTATTCTTTCAGTGATGCCCTGTTAACAGGGAGGGATGGGGGAGACATCACTGGCAGATTTGTTTCTCACTAAGCACCTCTTACTGTGAGCTCCGCTAAAGTACTCACCACCGTTCCACAGACCCAGCTCCTGTGTTAGCTGTAACATTTTGATCCACATTGTAGCAACAGCAGTATCTTTCCTGCTCTTTCCTAATGTTTTGGTGGCAGCAGAAAAGACTATGTCCTTCCTGTCCTTCCCCAAGAAAGAATTCACTGCAGCCAGCAAAGGTGGTACCTTATTTACTCTGGTGCCTGCAGGAAGGAGGGAACTTCATCAAGAAAGGTCAGAAAGGCAAGAATTGGAGAGCAGGCGGGGTGGGAGAGCACAGGTCCTGGGCAGAGTGGTGTAAGGCATGCCCTGGCCATTAAGAAGAACCTGTACAGGCAAGCACCGGGCAATACTTCACCTGCTTCCCTAGGTTCCCAAACAAAATGTGGCAGGGCTACAACAGGACTATAGCTGCTAAGGGGAAAGCTTTGTGGGGTGAAAAACCTGGGAAATCAAACTGCTGCATGATAGATTCATGCTAGCAACAACTACCCAACCTTACAAAGCCCTGCAATGCAGTGTCCAGGTTGTGCCCACCTCATTGCAAGGCAGATGGTATGCACTCCTCTCCTGCTGCTGTACCCAAGAATGATACACAAAGTAGAATGAAGAGAAGCTCTTTTATCCTCAAGCAACAGAGGGCAAAAAACAACGAACTTGTCTTTCCCTGAAAACATAACAAAACCCAAAGAAAACAAAGGCAAAAGTAACTCAAACATGTACTGAAATCAGCATTACAGACTGCATGTTAAACACGCCCAGGAAAATGTGCTGTGAGAACTCATACTGTATATGGAGTGTGTTTCATCAGCCCTATAGCATCTCTGTTCCACCCAAAGGGTGTTAACAGGCCCTGGCTGGGATTCAGACGTTACACATCAAAACACACTCTTTCCTTTGGTTTCCATGTAGAGCTTATTCTCCCGCAGCAGCAAAAACATGAGTTGTTATTTCGCAGTGATCTCAGGCCTCATTAAAGTTAGCCCTTGGATTTGTACACTAGAAGTTCACTGAAAAAAAATCCATCTTACAATAAACCCAGAAGGTTGCCCTTTTTTTGCTTCTGGACTTAGCCATAATTAGGCTTAAGCCTCTCAATACCCACACTGAAATTTCCCTTGTGATGGCTCTGTCTATCACAACACTTGAGGAACTTCATTACAACACCTGAAGAATACAATGTCTGTGGATGAGCACATCCACTTCTCTGGCATTGCAGCAACCTACATCAGCTGGGAATTTGGGCCAGGCTTTTAACAGATTGCTAAAGATCATCTCCACAGCAGCCTTGCCACAATGCTCATCTGCACATGCATGGATGTCTGCTAGTCTGGTGACAATACAAAATGATTACTTCAGTTTCAGCTTTAAAAGAATACTTTGTTTCCTGGTGGTTTCTTTCCTTTTGCTTCTCAGGTCTTGCAGGGAGTAAAGATGGGAGATGCCAGAATCTGCTGGCATCAGGATGACAACACATCTTGCCACCTCCTCCAGGAGTCTCAAAAGCAACCATAAATCGATTATTTATAATCAGTCCAATATCTGATTTGGTTTCTTCTTAAACTTTTTGTTACATATGATGACTGACCATGATTTGTCCTCAGTATCTGGGATTTCTAATTATTTTTCTCTCAAATGCTGCCTAAAAGAGAAGTGGTGACTTTCCTGTACTTCACTCAGACAAGTCTGGGAGGGGCTTGTTTACAACAAGAGATTTGTTGTCATGGTTGTCAGGGAGTAATTAATTCCTTGCATTGGGGAGCAGTTATCCTCAAAATAATCAATTTTATTCTGGAAGGAAGCACTCACATGCAAATCCACTCTTGAATACCCACACATAATTGCTGCTGCTGTTTAGCTGTGTCATTTGGAATCCATGGAAGCCAAACTCTGTGTGTTCTTTAAAGTTGCCAGGAAAACTCAGCATTTGACACCTGATTCATAAAGAATTTTCCACCAAGGTGAAAACTAGAAGGCTATTAATGTTCAAACAATTATAAACAATCACTTCACTACTGCAACTCAAGGCCTGGTTCTGTTAG